TCTTTCGTGTACCGCTTTAGGCAGCTGGACAAGGCTTGGAGCCTTTGTTTGGCAGTTTCGAGTGCTTCAGGTATGGTCATCTGGATGTACCTCTCGGGTATCGGCCTTTTCATCACACCTCTCTGGACCTCCGTCAATTGACTCACATCTTTCCGAGCCACCTTGATCTTAGCCTCCAACCGTCTTTTCCATGGTGGGTAACGTATCTCATGGTTTCCATGGTTGCTCTTATAGCCAAGCATCTCTAGGATCACTGATGCTGAAGCGTATATCAGCTCATTGGTTTCCGTGATCGTTACGGTAGGGAACGCCCTCATATATATATATATATACATACACACACGCACGCACACACACACACACACACACACACATATAACTTTTCAAAGCATTATGTAAATTTTGCCATAAGTGTGTGGTGTCTTCAAAGTGTGAGTGGTTTATTTCATCTTTATTAGACAGCGATCAAATTTTATTTGTATTACAAGACAGTTAAATATGTATCTTGAAAATACTGATATTGGGTACTGTAATATAAAGACATGCAAACAATGCTCCCCTCTAGTGGTCATATCGGGACCATTTCCAAATCTCTGTCCTCATTTTGACCAACAATTGTAGAATATACCTGTATAAATTATTTGTAGCAGTTATACAATGTACAGTATATTAGCACACAATGCTAATGCTTACCGGTACTTATAAATTGACCTGAAGATTGAGTTATCCGAGATGGATTTGGTGGTGAGGAAGCGAAAGCAGACGGCTAGGCAACATGGAAGACCACAAATGATCCTTGGCTGAGTTGGAACATTTATTGAAGATGAAAACCTTGAAGACCTGCTGTAAACTTACCGGTAACATAAAGAGGTGAGAATAATCATCGTTTCACAACAAGCCTGCTGTTCAACCTCAAGGTGGAACAAACACACAAATCACAAAGCAGAGCAGCATAGAACCTTCCAAAATTCTCCCAGTCTGGCTCACCTGACTCAAATTAAAACAAGTTACAGGATTCAAGAAAACTCGGACTGAAGGAAACTCTCCCCCCAAGCTCTATGTAGTGTTACAACAATGACAGCGTACTGTGAGCAAGCAGGATGTCCGAGGGAACGTTACACATACAGTGTGTGCAACACTTTCAACATTCTAGCAAATTAATTTGCTTCGTATAAAATCAGCTCTAACCCCTGAAAACTAAAGCCGTGGGTAGTGTGACACAAATATCGATGTCTGATATCTAACAGTCGAATGGCAACGCAGAGCGACAAGAATCACCCTTCCGAAAAGAGGTAATGTACAACTATTGTGAAGAATCATATTCTTTTTTTTTTTTTCAAGCAAAACATGCCTGGGAAGTGACGGTGTTTGGGGTGCTATGGGAAGAAAGCAAACAGTGACCAGGACAGACTCAATATAAGCTTGCACTTTTGAATCACCTAACTGCAGCATGATTTTTTTTAATACAAATCAAACATAAATAGAAAAAAAAAAGAAAAAAAAAGAAAATACTATGATCCTTACAATGGATTTGAATTTAAATATGAGTTGCTGCTACTGTGAGGAAGGTGAAAGCAAGTTATTTTCCCAGCTAACTTAAAGAAATGAAGGCTCTCAACCGGTGAACTGAGCCTGGTTCAAAAGTGCAGAACAAAACTTGTGAAATGCGAAACTTCGGGCTCTTGATGCAATTCTAATTGACATCCAGGTCCATGTGAGATGCGAAGGTGCACACGGGTCATGGTCCCCAAACCAATGTGTCTTTCTTCAGTGCTCCATTCAGTAGACGCTCCATTCCAGCAGGTCCGAAATTACAAGTTGGTCCCGTCTATAAAGAACCATCTCCCGCACACTCATCCTGAAACGGGTAACTGAGCGCGGGTGGGAAGCCCTGACTCCGAGGCTGCTCATCCAGCAACAACAAATCCTCCACTTCCCTCCCTTTGTACCGTCGTCTGGCGATCTTTACTGTCACTTTTCTGCCTTGGAAGACTTTCAGCGCCTCTTTGGAAGCCATGGCTCGGGCGGCGGCCTCGTCCCGCCCGTAGCCTGTGCCCATGTAGACCGTCTGACAGCGAATTTCGCACACGTGGCCTTCTTTCTGCGTGCGAGCCGCTGGCAGCCCAACAATGTCCTTCAGCGGCACAAAGACGCACGTCAGGGTCTGCTTACATGACTCCACGCAGCTACATAGTATTTCGAAATGGTCGAGATTGGGGCCGAACCCTCCCACCGATACCAACTTCCAGGCCACGGCCTTGTAGAGGCGGTTGAAGAAAGGCTGGTGCTCTGCAGGAGCCTGCTGGGCCGGCCCGGATTTCTGACTCATAGTTCGCGTGGATGTTTTCCCGCCTGGTCGCCCGTCGGTCTCATTAGGAGCGTATCGGGCTCGTTTGGCACAGCTGTCATCGGGCGCTCCTTCACAAGAAAAGAGAGAAGCAACATTTAATGAGACAACAGACTGTAGCGTCAAGTGTGGGCGCGTAAACACAGAAACACTGCATGAAGGCAAAAAAAAAAAAAAAATCACAGTACACTCTGTTCCTTTTCACAGACAAGCTGCAAAGGATCTTTCAACCATCAGACTTTATTTATTTATTATTTTACAAATGATCTTTTTTAATCTGAATGTAAATTAAACTACCCAAAGTCAAAACATGTTTTTTTTTTTTATATATAATGGGCCATCGGTCATGAACTTCAGTCCAAAGCCATTAAATCATTCATTAAATAGTAAAATGTATTGCTGCCATGCGATTAAAAAAATGAATGTTAACAAGAACTTGACTTGCTGCATTATTTCTTTTTTTAATCTATTAATTTCAGTCTTTCTTCCAAGTTCCACGAGAGTAACTTGAGTACTACTCATGGTACGAGCACCAGACTTTGAGAATCACTGCACTAGGGTATATATACACTACATTCAAGAGGAGCAAAATGTAAAGGGCGACCCATTTTTATGTACACATCTTTTTTTTACATTGCTTGACACTTGAACATGTGAGTCACTACACGATCTAATTCAAATATGACATTCAGAATGCACAAGGATTCTCGAAGTATTCTGCATATACTGTACTGTCATGGATTCCACAAGTGTTCAATATGTGCACCGCCTGTGACACAACACACATTCAGTTAACAGTGACGCTTTGGGGGAAAACTGGCTAAGTTCCGCAAGACAAGAAATATGGTGCGTAAAGTGTTCTACAATTATTCAGAATTGGGGTGTTTGGAAAAAAAAGCATGCAACAAGGAATGTTATTATGAGATGTGCAAATGTACACAACATATCTTCTTTAAACTTGGTTAATTTTTAAATATGGCTGTAAATAAATCAAGATCATTCGACATGTTGTTAGACTAGGAAATTATGTGCATTTTTTGGAAAACCATGCAACTTGGAAGGTGATTCGCCAAATGTCTGTCAAATCCATTTTGGGCCCATAACATGAATTACACATGACTTAACGGGTGTGCTTCGATCCCAAAACATCCAGATTGGCAGTTTATTTTTTTAAATTCCCCTAAGACAGCATTAATGAGAGTGATTTTACAAGCAGCGTGGTGGTCAACTGATTATCACTTCCGCCTCACAGTGCAGAGGTGCCCGGTTCGATTTTGGCTCCGGCCTTCCCGTGTGTAGTTTCCATGTTCTCCTCATGCCTGCGTGGGTTTTCTCCGGGTACTCCGGTTTCCTCCCGCATTCCAAAAACATGCATAGTAAGTCAATTGATCTCTCTAAATTATATCTAAGTGTGATTGCGAGTGTGAATGGTTGTTGGTCCATGTATGCCCTGCGGTTGGCTGGCAACCGGTTCACAGTGTCCCCCACCTGCTACCCGAAGACAGCTGTGATAGGCTCCAGCATGCCTGCGATCCTCGTGAGGATAAAACGGTTCAAATGATGGATAAAGGCTGACAAAAAACATGCTTATTTTGAAATAAGGATTTTGGTAGGTGGGCATGCCCCACCCAATAGCACACCCATGGGGACGAGTCTGAGTACACATACCTCACACTCTATCTAACTTAAGACAGCATTCATAGAATAACTTTTCTGGTGTGTTATACTCTCAATTGAAACTTATCTGACAATTAAGCATGTTAAAATGTGACATTGAGTGAAACAAAACATTGGTTTATGTGTTTGCTGGCTTCCTTACATGGATCAGAATGACAGATTTCTTTTCTGTATCTCAGTGATGTGCTTGTTTGTCTTCCACGAACACTTCCAATTCCATGACTTCAAACTTCATTTCACGCTAGTGTTGCACTTTCAAATGTTTGATGGTTAAAACCAGCTGAGCCCTGAAGTGCAAAAGCCTATTTTAGTGAATGTCCATCTCCACTGTCGAAATACTCAGTGTGGTGTTGTATGAAATATTACATGCAAGATAAAATCATGCCACTTTGGAGCTCACACGACTTTCAACATCTGCAAAACGTTTTTCAATCAAGTTTGCCTTACCTAACGGGGTACTGGACTTTTCCTTGCGTGTAGTTTTATGAACTGGACGATCTTGGACAACTATTCCTTCACCCATCTCTGTAATTTTGTCCATGACAGCCTCCGGATAGCTTCGAGAATGGGAAGGAAGATATTTAGCCTCCAGTTTGCAGTCCCGTTTGTCATTGGGCTCCACTGTTGTGTGTCCTACCTGCAGCCGAGGAAAACATGGTTCGCCCAAACCATGGAGAGAGACAGCAGCCTGTCCAGACTGTTACTGGAGACTCCTGGTTTCACTGTAGGGTAAGCGTCCATGTTTTTAAGGATGAACTCTCTGCGAGCAAACCACTGTTTGTTGTTTTCACAGTAGCCTCTTAAAGTGTCGACCCACTGGGCCAACTCTCGGTTCTGGGTCAGGTACTCCGAAACGAGGTCCTCCTCTGTCGTCACCTTCGCCATGCCTGCGATTTAATAATACACATAGTACACTTCCGTAAATATGGGAACAGATTGCTTGAAACTGCTGTCTGGCCAACAGTATAGGGTCGTGTCATCAAATACGACAGTTTGGTTACTCGTTTACCTTTTTAAAGCTTAATTCGTTGATGTATTTGAGAGAACTTCTTCACTCATTTAAACTGAGAACGTTACACGATTAGGACGAAGTGAGTACAAAAAGCGGCGCTAATTAGCAACATTAATACAAATCGCAAATGATGACGTCTAATAACGACCAGGTTTACATTTTGATAACATCTTGTTTTCAACTTGTTATATCGAATTACCAGGCTTCCACTTGTGTTGCGGGGTGTTGCTAGTAGCTACTGCATGACTGACTGATGACGTTGGTTGGGAAGTTTCCGTTTACGGCAAAGAACTACAATTTCCAACCACAGTGGAACAAGCAAGCGGTGGATGCATATTTCACGTATATTTTACCGATACAATAAAAGCACAAGGTGAAAAATTGACTTCTCAAAATCCCATTAGTTGCTAGTAGCTCGACAGTTTAACAAAACTCAAACGGAAATGAAATACAGATTGAATCAAGCCAGTTGCTCTGACGTCCCATAATGCTTTGGAGGCTTTACGTCACCAACCAGCGACAGCTCCGGCGGCGGTTTGTTTTGATGGTTGCAGACAGCACCGCTGTGGATTTTCAGTTATACTTCATAAAGTTAGAAGTAAGATGATTCACGAATTGTTGTTGGCATTGAGTGGATACCCGGGGACCATTTTCACCTGCAACAAACGGACGGGTTTACAGGTAAAGCGGAACGTCTTATTCATTGGAAGGGCAGTGGCTGAAGGCACAGTGGAGTACGCACAGAAATTGCACCTAATCAGAGTTCAGCATGTCTATGAGTCTTGGACGCTTTTACATCCGCAGAGGTAGTGTTAGTACAGCAAACAGTATCAGAGCATTTTACAAATTCCTTCTTAAAGCAGCGGGACCCGTTGTTCAAACCAGCAGCTCTGTCTGAAACATAATAAACACAATAATGACGCTATTATCTTTTGGGACATGAAACTTGTATTTGCAGGTGTCCCAGGACCTGCCCTTCCTTCACCCAAGTGAGACCAGTGTCCTCAACCGGCTCTGTAAAGTGGGCTCGGATTACGTACGCTTTACAGAATTCATAGAGCAACATACTGGCCATGTGCATCAACAGGTAAGCTCCAAATGTCCAGTTGAACATATTTTGCCTGTATGCATAATTTTCATCTTTTAAAAAAAAATTTAGATTTGCTGCAATTTTTTTGTGGGTACGGTTGCAAGAAAAAATATGTGAAGCCCTTGGAGTTTCCTGGATTTCTGCATGAATTAGTCGTAAAATATGAATTTTCATCCCGCGGGCGCTGAACATAAATACAAGTTAAAAAAGTATGCCGCGGCTGGCATTGTAAGGTCAATTAAACACATGTCTTGGCTTTGGAAGAGGAGGCGGCAGCAAGTGTGGGCACTTCCTATGACTGACAGTGTTCTTAGATAGGATTCCATTGGGCTTTTTGCTTTATGGCGCATTGGACACCTGAGGTCTGAAAAGGAATTTTGTAGGGCGGAGAATGAATTCTCGCTTTCCTTGGAGGGGCATATTGCGAGGACAAGTTTGAAAGCGACCAACTCACTTGCTGTCGGAATGCATGCAGACGTCACTTTGACAGGACGTGACATGATTGTATGCAAATGAGCATTTTCCCCCCTTATTTTTATCTCCTTTTTTCATTTTTTATGTTTTCGATTAAGTTGTCGATTAATTGTTGCACCATTCCACAATCCGAGTCATTGAATGCTTTCTTTGTAGGAACACCACACAAATCAGGCCGGCCAGATGGGACTTCATGGGATTTACTTGCGTGCATTCTGCACAGGTTTGGACTCAATGCTGCAGCCATACAGACAGGCCCTACTGGACCTTGAACAGGAGGTACAAAAAAAGGCATTAAAAGCAAAACTAACTGAGAGGTGAGTCAAGAAGACAGCAGGTTAACGTGTGTGTGTGTGTATGCGTGTGTCATTTTCAGTTCCTTTGTGATCCCCACCTGACAATAGCCCATGTGAATTATAAGCTTGATCAGGTAGGCTTGTAAACATCTGTGAATAACGTAAAGAATCTTGTCTGAACAGCTGTTACATCTCTCCCCTTTCAAAAGTTTCAGTTGCTTTTTCCCTCGGTGATGGTGGTGGTTGAAACGATCAAATCTCAGAAGGTGAGGAGGACCGGTTGCACGACAAAAACAGATGCACAATGCTGTCAAGACCAGTAGAGCATGTCGGTTGAAACCGAAATTCAGGCACACTGAGTTTAATTGCAGGTTCACATTTAATAACATCAAACTGCAGACTAAAGTCTGACATAATGATGTTTGAAGAAATGAGTAAAAAGTAGGGCTGCAACTAACGATTCATCTGCTGTCCATCGATGAGTTGGATGGACAAAAAAAAAAAAGCGGGTTTGAATTTTGAAAATAGGACATTGTTTGAAATTGACAGCGCAGAAAACACAGGAACAAAAGTTCATTCTGATTCTGTCATTGGTATGGATCGTACCATTAAAAAAATGTTGATCATTTTACTTTATTCCAACGTCAATGCAGACATTTGCTAATGTCTTATTTTGATTCAACACAGATTTGAATCAGAGAGGGCTTTTCGTGCGTGACACTGATTTAAAAAATCAGCACATCAGGTTTTGGAGAGATTTACATTTTTTTGTTTTAAATTCGACCTGCTATAAACCTTCACTGTATCCAAAGTATTATTTATTATTTCAAGTTCACCTGCATCTCTGATTAAAAAAATGTACTGTACTAAAAATGTGTTGACTAGTGTAATCAATTTGTTTTCAGGGAGGGTTAGAGAAATCAGAGAGTAATTACCTTGGAGGGGTTGAAATCAGAGAATGTGATACAAGGTCTCTTATTAAAAATAATAATTGATTCGAGTGATCGTCCATTAGTTGTCGATGAATTGTCGCAACTCTAGTAAGCATCACTGGGGTATCTGACAACCATCTGGTTAATGTCTTGTCCGCTTTAGATCCACGGCTGCCGGATCCTGGAAACGGTATACAAGCACAGTTGCGGGGGGCTTCCTCCAGTCCGTATGGCCTTAGAAAAGTAAGTCATACCGTTTGCACAATTGCGTAAGGCCATTATGTTTTCGTACACTATGCATAAATTAAGTGAGCAATAACTGCACTTTTGTTTTGTGTTTTGGTTTTCAAATAAACCCTGTCAATATGCGGTTGCAAAAAAAAAAAAAAAAAAATTCAATGCATCCGAACACTTGGTATGTGGGTATTTTGCACCAATCTTTAGGATCCTTGCCGTGTGCCACGGTGTGATGTACAAGCAGCTTGCCGCCTGGATGCTGCATGGATTGCTGCTCGACCAAAGCGAGGAGTTTTTCGTGAAACAGGGTCCAAGTGCAGGAGGGGCCGCTGCCTACCAGGAGGAGGATGAGGAGGATCTCGGCCTGGGAGGCTTCAGCGGCAAACAGCTGAGGGAACTTCAGGACCTGGTGAGAAGCACGGCTGATGTCCAACTCTGGATTTTTTCGAGAGATTCTTAACTCTGCGGTGTGTGGCTTGGCAGAGGTTGATCGAGGAGGAGAACATGCTGGCTCCGTCCCTCCAGCAGTTCTCCCTGCGAGCAGAGATGTTGCCCTCCTACATTCCGATACGAGTGGCAGAGAAGATCCTATTTGTTGGAGAATCTGTGCAGATGTTTGAAAACCATAACCACAGTCCCTCTCGGGCAGGTACCCTATTGCACAAAAGTGAACTTTATTGTCAGCAGCTTCCCATTTGAGTTGGAGTGAATAAAACAAGATTGTTTTAGGCTCCATATTGAAGCACCAGGAGGACGCATTTGCGGCTGATTTGCACCGACTTAAGCAGCAGCCTCTTTTCAGCCTGGCTGATTTTGAAAACTTGATTGATCGCATCCGAAGCACAGTGGCCGAGGTAAACAATTTAGTGTTGTCGTATACACCGCTCACAAAATGTTAGGGCTTGTCGGCTTTGGGTGGAAATTTCAGAATTAACTCTAAAGGAGTAGTCTGTCTTTCATTTAATATTACATGAGCATTTTGGATTGACTTTTCAGCATCTTTGGACACTGATGGTGGAGGAGTCCGAGCTCCTTGAGCAGCTTAAGGTAAGATCTATTCTCTCAATTCTTTTTATGTCCCAAATTGGGGTTGATGAATACACCAGAATCAGTATCTTCTATATTGTCCAGGTATGTTTAAAATGTACAAGGATTTCATTCCAAAATTACTCGGGTATGTGCAGTGATTTGGGTGTGCAAAGGGACAGAACTCTCTCCCACTACTCTCTTCTGCTTTCAGATTATCAAGGACTTCTACTTGCTGGGTCGTGGTGAGCTCTACCAGGTTTTTATTGACCTTGCGCAGCACATGCTGAAGACCCCACCCACCGCTGTCACCGAGCACGGTAAATCACATCAAACTTTATAGTTCTTTCGGGCCTTCCTTTCCTCTGCCAGTTGGAATGAGACCGACATCAAACAAAGCTTGCAGTTAATTTCCATGAGGCTCAATTTAAAAATCCTGCCAGTGGAGGAGGTGGTTTAACCCCTTCACGGACAGCGGTTACTACAGCGGACAGCTTATCATGTTATCGGGTTACGGAGTGCATGAAAGTAAAATGGAGCAACATGAAAAGGTGCTCTCGTTTCACTTTTCAGTCTGTCTGATGGCAACATGACCATTCATTTTTGGATGCTCACAAGTTGAAAGCGTCATTGTTTGTACTTTGTTCTCTGTTTTGGAGCAAAGACAAGCTAAATATACATAGACCAGAAGTACACACGTGCGCAAACTTGTTACAGTGACGAGGTTATACTCGCTCTTGGAGATCGGCTGCCTTGCTCAGGGGCACTTCTCAGGCTATGGTTTCCATCCTGTTGATCCCATAGCAAGTCATGAATTGACTGCCCTGCAATCCCCAAACCTTGTCGGGCATACAGATTGAATTTTTACTACCGCCATAGTTCACAATGACTTGATTCTATAAATAATGAATGGTGTTTTGAAAGGAGCATTTCAACACCTCGTCCGCACGGAATACTGAGCTTGCAAAGTGTTTTGGCACAAGTGATGCATTTCAATGCCTGATGATTTGTTTTGTTGTTGTTTTCCTCAGATGTAAATGTGGCCTTCCAGCAAGCAGCTCATAAGGTGTTGCTGGATGATGACAATCTGCTGCCTTTGCTGCACCTCACTGTTGACTACCAGGGCAAAGACAGCAAAGGTCAGCTGTGGAGCCAGAACACCAATGTTGAAATAGACGCACATTTCGATGCCTGAGATTCATTTAAAAGCGAATGTAAAGACAGTTTATTTGACTTGATGTAGATATCACTGGATGCTTATTTATTTATTTATTTTTCTTGTATAAATCACTGATTGAATTGTTGATCTGTCATTGTCATGATACTCAGTGCAGGAAATCAATGTACTGTAAGGTCTTTTTCTTGCAACAAAAAGCCAAAGAAACAATGCAAGAAATGAAAATCACTTCTAGCACGACATAGTAAATTCACACTGAGAAGCAGAATTGGTCACCAAGTTGACTGTAATACCACATTTGTGTCTAAAGTACTTTTTAAAATAGTTTGACTACCCTTGTGACTTACATGCAACTTGTATTTATTAAAATTCGAGCTCGAACTGGCACCCAAAATCCTCATTCCTAGACCCTGTTGACTTTCTTTTGACTGTGGCAGTACATGATCACCAGTGGACAGCTTTTTTAGCTTGCTAAAACCAAAAGTAATTGCCAAGCTGCCAAAAGAAAGTAGCGGAACAAATGGAAGAAGGTAGTAGTAGTCATGGCAACTAATGTGTGACATATCGCTAGCTTAGCATGTGGCTTCCCGATGCCACTACAAGGATGCAGAGTGAGAAAAGGTATAATAACCAAGCAGGATCCTACCTGAGGCTACAATCTGACATGCTCTTTTTTGGTTAAGGTAAGCCATTTTAAACTAAAAAGAACAACCTTTCTGTAGTTAGTAGCGGAACTTACATCCAACTAGATCTCGTTTGCCTCCATCAGCACGGGGTGAGTTCAAAAATTCACTTCCATGCCCTAACATCACTCGGTGTGTGTGTTTGGAGAAGAATCTCCTCCTAGTAATTTCCAAACACAGCCTAGGTTGCAATCAGCAGCTCCTGCAGCTCTTTTCTTTCCTTTTACTGCGCTCTTTCCGAAATGTCGGAGTGAAGCAGTGCACAATTGGAATACATTTCTTAACGCACACACACAATGAGGGAATGAGGTTTTTGCGGGTTGGGTTCGAGCTCTACAGTTCTTGGTCTTGGTTTTTGTAAAAAGAAATGTCCCCGCAAAACTACAACTTTTACTCCGTACCGACTCATACAGTATGTTTTTTTTTCTTTCTTCATGATGGATTTTTTGACTGGTGTGACTTACAGTATACTCCACAGCAATTTAAAGTCCCAAAAATGTGGTAGGCACATTCTGGTTAAATGTGACTGGCACGAAATACGCACAGAGGGAAAAAAAGAAATGACTGGTTAATCTAGTTTTGTTCTCGTGGTTATTTTTTTTAAATTTATTTGAAATTTTTCAGAGATGATGGGCCCAAGAGATGGAACCACTCCTCCACAAGACATCTCCCCTCGTGAGGTGCCTCCCACTGGCTGGGCTGCTCTAGGCCTCATCTACAAGGTTCAGTGGCCGCTGCACATCCTCTTCACTCCGGCGGTTCTGGAGAAGTCAGTCCTGATCTTGTTCTCTTTGCCATCTTAAAATCCGGTCGGCTTCTGTTTGGTGAGCTTTGCGTTCTCTTGTGTCTCTTTGGTTAGATACAACGTCGTGTTCAGGTACCTGCTGAGTGTGCGACGGGTGCAGTCACAGCTCCAGCACTGCTGGGCTTTGCAGATGCAGAGGAAACATCTTAAGTCCAGTCAGACAGACGCTATCAAGTGGAGGCTACGTAACCACATGGCTTTCCTCATCGATAACTTGCAGTACTACTTGCAGGTAACAGCCAAATGAACCGCACGCGACTCTTCTGGATTTTCCCCCCGTGATGATTTCATCCTGCCAAACATTAAGCAAACGTTTATATTTTTTTGTTGGTTCCTGGTAGGTACATGTTGAGCCATGATGGCAAATTACCTGTAAGGTTCCCGGTATAATTTTTCACCATACATCACGGAGTCTCCCAATATCAGTGGGACAAGCGCAAGCTGTTTTGGTGTACTCTATGTGTCTAGGTGGACGTGTTGGAGTCCCAGTTCTCACAGCTGCTTCACCAGATCAACTCCACCAGAGATTTTGAGAGTATCAGACTAGCCCATGACCATTTCCTCAGCAACCTGCTTGCCCAGTCCTTCATTCTCCTGAAGCCAGTATGGAATCAAACTGCACTTTGAATGATAGTTACAGCCACTGATATTGTACATGAGACAAATCCAAGCCTCTAATGCACGTGTGTCAAACCCAAGGCCGGGGGGCCGGATCCGGCCTGCCACGTCATTTAATGTGGCCCCCCCCGAAAACAAATCGTGTCAAATTGCATGATCCTTGCTAAAATCTGTCCCAAAATGTGAAATTCTCATGTGTAATAAATGAGATTTTGCACAAATGTTGTTACCCTGTTTCTACTCACGTGAACAATAATTGGCAAACTATTATAATTGACTCGACTGCTTTCAAAACTATCCATCCATTAATTTGCTGTGTACAAGAAAAAATACATTCTTGTGTTTTTACTGTCATAACGGCCCTCCGAGGGAACACGTAGCTCCAAAGTGGTCGGCGACAACAATGAGTTTGACATCCCTGTTCTAATCCTGCTGTTCTCAGGTCTTCCACTGCCTGAATGAAATTCTGGAGCTCTGTCTAAATTTCTGCTCTTTGGTTAGTCAAAGTGTGACGTCCCTGGATGAGAGGGGATCCGCTCAGTTGGACATTCTCGTCAAGGTGGGCTGACTACTCTTCATTGTTCCTTCATGTTCAGGGGGGAAAGGGTTGCTTCATACTGTAGTCTGTGTTTACTTCAGGGCTTCAGACGTCAGTCATCACTCCTCTTCAAAATCTTGTCAAGCGTGCGGAATCATCAGATCAACTCAGATCTTGCTCAGCTGCTCCTGCGACTGGACTACAACAAGTACTACACCCAGGCTGGAGGCACACTGGGCAGGTGAATCACACACTTGGGATCCATTGTCTTAGTTTAATTGTCAGTCTAACGAAATGATATCCAAAGCCGTGACCATATCCTTGTCTGTTAGGCAGTACAAGTTTGCAAGGCTGGGAGCCAAACAAAAACATGTGCCCGATTAATGCTTGTCACAGATGTTTTGAAGAAAAAAAAAAGTTTTTCTTCTGAAAATAATGATTGTGCCAGCCTTATCGGAGCAGTAAGACATTGTCTGACATACTGTGTAGTTACAAAAAAAATCCAAAAAGATGGCTATATAATTTTCTTTCAATCTCAATAGTTACCTCCTTTTTGTAAGTCAAAGTTGTCACTTATTTGTCTAAAATGTATGCTATTTTCTTGATTTCTTTTTAGTGTTTGAGAAGACCAGAGTGAATTGCTGTTTCGCCACCCGAAAACTCTCTCCCTTCAGTCTTTTGACTCTGGTGTTTCTGATCTATTGAAACATTGTTGCATTTCAATTTCAAATGTCAAAATATCCCCTTCATGGGCTGGCTTCTCACAGTCAAGACTGATGACCGTGATTTGGTCCGCCCATCAACATGCCATCCACCTCTTCAACAGCTTTTCCATTGGGGGCGGCTGTCAAGTCTCAACAATGTTAATTATGAGCATAGTTGAGCAGATCCAGAATTCATGAGGAAAGCTTTTTCTCAGCGGTTGGTCACTCCTACACACTGTAGGTTTTCCTTTTGTATGAAGTGTAAATATATTGAAACCTTATTGCATGTAACAATTTTGTGTCAAAAACAAAAAGTACTCCATTAAAGTGAAACGAGGCTGACATTTATTCCATAAAAACACACAATGAAGTTATGTACAGTAGAGGCATGCAATAGAACAAATGCTGAAGAGTGAATTGGGTTGAAGGCAGTTTCCATGTATATTATGACGATGATGATGATGATGATGGCGACGTCAAGGAGGAGTAATTGTGGTGATATTGAGGCTTGGTCTGGAAACCAAGGCGCTCCCCACAGATGACACTCTGGATAAGCCACTCAGGCGACACCAGCGGGACTTGAAGTGATGTCACATTTTTCTCGAGGAGTGGAGGGCAGGAATGGTCTGACACCACAACATCATACTTGCCAGCAGGGACGTCTATAAGTGAGAGGGGGAAAGTAAATATTGGTCACTTTGTCAAAGCAGAATATTCGAACAATGGATCCTCTCTTACCGGAGCCATCCTTGTCGGAATGGAAATGTCGGACAGAAGAAGCGCCACCCATGGTGACGAGCTGGGCCCAAAGTTCCACTGGCTTCTCAAACACCAAGAAAAAATGCAGGTCCTTAAAGGGACTGCAGCGGGGATGCCTGGGGAAAAACATACTGCGCCTTAAGAATTGCTAATCAATTTCTTTGACTTGCAATGGTGTTTGGTATTCTTGGCAATGAAAAGAAAAAAAACAATTGGATGACATGTTTTTTAGACTGCACAGTAGAAAAAAATGTGGTATATGATCAGATCATATTTTCTGAAGGATTTTTACAGGTTATGCAGATATCCAGGTAGCGTTATTAATGTGTATGTTGTGGAGTCGGTGAAATTGACCTTTTCCTGTACACTGTGCGGTGTTCACGATCAGGGGAATTAGCAAGCGGTCAAACAAGCCCCCACAAAAAAAAAGTAACGTACATCCATTTCATCCAATGTCCTTTTTTCAACATATGAAATGTAAAACGGACAATAATGTAATTAAAAAAAAATTTTTTTAGAATACAAGTGAAATCTTCACTGCTAATTGGACCAAGAGGCCAATGACATGAGACAGGAATAACTATCAATACTCAGGCAGTAACAAACAAAAACAGAAAATCGATTTTGCAAGTAAGTGCATCAAATCAATCTATATCGTTGCACTTTATAATTTAGTGAGATGCACATTCCTACTACTGACAAGTACATTCATATTGTAAAATGACAACAAGAAACTCATTGCATCATACCCTCTCCAAGTGAGCCGTACCACTTTGAATCAGATCGTCATCACGCTAAATGGAACTGATTTGAAGGGTTCTTTAAAATTAACCGTACTTGAGTCGTATCACAACGCATGTGTCAAGGTACATACCATAAGGTCTATTATTAGAGATATACACTCCTAATACTCATTTAGAAATGCTCAAAACCTTTTTGGGATTTTTTTTACCATTCCACGATGGCATCATTTGGTCCCAAACCAGCAGGCAGCAGGTAGTTCCTGTAGTTGAGCAGTTTGTTGTCTTTGCAGCAATCTCGCACCCAAAAATGTGAGACACATGGCACACCGCTGGCCAAGCACAACAAATACTTCCTGGTACGGCAGTGTTGGTCTACGATGAGAAGACTCTGGTAGGCTGCCTTGCACTGAGGGGAGAACCGAAGCAAGTTGAGGATGAATTCAAAACTGATGTGTCAGTTTCGTATCATCGGAGCACTTGCCTGTTCTTCATTGAAGTCTGGCAGGACAAAGCCTCCACCTGCCAGGAGCTGCGACTCGGTGTATGCCTTGTTAAACGGGCCGGTCTGCACATAATCTAGTTGGAAAACGGAGATAAATGTCAAGCCAGCCGCCGGGATGGTTCCGCCAGCAGGCTAGTCGGCCTCACCCTCCTCCTCCTCCTCTTCCTCCTCAATAGTGAGCTTATTGTTCAGTCGGTCCCTCTCGGACGAGGCCGTCAGCATGAAGGCGAAGCCCATGAAGAGAGACGTGTTCTGGGGCATTGGGCCGTGAGTCTCGGCCGGATCGCACGGCTGTGCGGCAAGATCTGTGCCGCTGCCGGATGTGTTGCACACACCGACTCGCTGAGCTGCACGACAGCACAGTACATTCACGCTATAGTAGCTACAAAATTCAAAATTTAGAAAGATCTGCAAACACATTCAAGCGAATACACATTGAGCATGAAATTGTAGTGGTTCTACAATTACTGCGACAAGAAACACCAGTGATGTAACAAACATTCTGCTTTATTCCCAGCTTCCCTCCACCTGTGGACCACCACCAGCACAGCAGCACCAGTGGCACTTTGTTCATTACCAAATAAGCCTCAGGAGAACTTGAAACGGCACGGGAAGGAGGGACTTGAGTTGATACGACTGATTGTCTCAGTAGTTATGCTCAGCACAAAACACACATATTACTACCACTTCCAACACACACATTAAATCGTGACAATTCAATTTAAAAGCAGCATCACAGCAATCATTTCAAAAATTAGAATTCAATTCAAAAAGTGCCCGGGAGTGCAAAGTTCAAAACTGAAGCAGTCTCATAGTATGCTTCAATATTTTAAAACGTACCAATTGGAACCTATTAAAAATGGAACTATTGCCATTAGCATAATTGTTAGTGTTAAAAACCGTATAAATATGGTTAATAGCTAATAAAATCACAAGTATTGCTAAAAAATCTATCATAAAAATTATGGCATGTCCTCCACTCATGGTTTTGGTGAGACAGTCTCTGTACCGGCTCTGGCACCAGCAGCCCTGCGGCTTCTTTTGGCCGGCGAGGGCTCGTTATCCAAGGTCCGAAGCCTTCTCTTAGTGGAGGGGCCTGGGTTTCGCGGGCTGCTGGAGGAACTGTGGTTCGGAGTGTTTGATCCCGCAGGGGCTCCTCTGCGGCGCCTTTTGCCTTCCACCAAATTATCTGCACAGTGAACAGGATTGTGTGATTCGAAAGAACACGTGCTGCTGAGGAAGCCCAACACATCCATTGTGTAAAAGAGAAAACAACCGAATCAAAAACGATCACCAAAAGATGTGCTTTAAAAAAAAAAAAAAATCTTTCAATTCCTTTTTTTGACATTAAAGCTTTGCACTTTTTAGAGGGAACTATTCAACGCGTGTATGTGCTTCTCGTTCTTACCAAGGCTGATGTCAGAGGCCTTGGCCAGCGGCGTGGAGGGCTCATATGGACCAAGGCTGTGATGCTCCCTCAGTCGGTTCCCCTGGTCCAGGGAGAGGATGACTGATGTCCTGTTATACCATTGCTCTTGGCCCTCCCGCTCTACGTTGTAGAAGAGGTCATGGCCTTCCGTTCTATAACCCTTCACCACACCTACAAAGACAGAAGATGACGCTTGATCAAAATGCACTGGTACTGATTTCCCAATGCACAAAGGCTCTACTTGCATCGTAGGGGAGGTTTTCCACCTTAAACAAATCCATTGTACGAACAAGACATCCTTACCTACAATGAAGGTGCAGTAACGACCTTGATTTGAGTTTTGGAGTTTTTCCAAAGTTATCTTTATGTGTGGAATTGGTATTTGGTAAACAGTGGCGGCGACTGCGCCGTCCCAAGCCCACCTACTCGTGCCTCGAAGCCGTGCCGTTACTGCGTCACCCACTTAGGAGCGAGTGCCGCGAAGTCAGTGGCTTTTAAAGCTCAGAGGGGTGAGGTTTTAAGAATGTATACTCGCGCGGCGGCGCAAGCTGGCGTCATTTACATTGGGTTAACTCTGTAGCAACAGAGCGTTTCATTTAAGGCATAACTAATCAATTTACAATCAATGCAACCGTTAACACTCAAGTTTGGTTATTGTTTGAAATGCTTTTGCCTGGAGACTGGAGTGGATGGGGGATGACGTCGTAACGTGCAATCAATTGTTCAAATGTCAGAGGGAAACACAAGCAGGCTCAACAAATAGGCCGTTTTCGAATATGCACACTACTAGACACATCGGACCGCAGAACACTTTTTCATGTTGCATCAGTCCATCTTTTGATTCGCTTGGGCCCAGAGAAGGCGGCGATTTTTCTCAGTGTTGTTGATATCCTGTCTGGCCTCTTCTCTGCACGGTAAGTGAGCCTTTATTTATACCCACTTGTTTGCATACCCAACTCGTTAGCAATCAACCTCTGCCCAAATGTTACAATGAAAATGAATCGGCTAGGCTGGTGAGCAACGAGCTAATTTCAGTAAATTTCTCTGCCGTTTGATCCATAGACTCCTCCTTTCACCAGCTGGGCTTTGATGTCATTCATATGCTGATATATCAGCGTGTCATGCTTGAATCCCTGGCTGGCTTTTCCGATAAAAAAAGCACCAATAGCAATCAGGGTCATGTCAAGCCGAGCAGGTGTAGCCCAGTGGAAAATAGGCTCGCGCTAGTTTCAATCTTGCTACTTTACCTACCTACACTGAAGAACTCATTTTCCACCAAAGCAGTGACCTCAGTCTCCAGTGGAATGGGATCACACAGCAGGATATCTTTTCCCGCCACTTCACACTCATAGCCATCATCAAATCGCAGGCGGAATCTCCCCTCCCCGGGATCTTTGACAATGCGGCCAGAGTAGAAGTAGCCGTTGGACGACCACTTGGCCACCACTCGCAGTCCCACAAAGCTACTTCCGGCTGAGCTTGCCTCCTCTGGGGACGACTGGAGGGAGTTGGAGTGGCAAGGGACTTCATCGTCTGTGGGGGTGACCGGGACGCGTGGTGGGAGTGTGTAAGGTTCGTCCTCTGAGGAGGACTGGGGTTGACCGGGAGCGCTGAGCGGCGGCAGTGAGCTAGCACCTCCTCCCCTGTAACATGCAGAAGAGTCGCTCAAGCCAAACTACATGCTGAAAACTGTCGATGGAAACAAACAGCTAACATGAACAATGTTAGTGAGAAGAAAAGAGTAGTGCTAGATGACAGCAGGTCATGCAGATGCCCTCATTTTACTTAAATTGTCTTAACATGCATGGTGAGCCTCTGGGAGGACTCACCTGGACGAGGGTCGGCCACGTTTAGCCCGACCTCTTGGGGTGTGCGAAACTAAAGCCTCGGACTCGGGGGTACCTCTGTCCTTTGTGATCACTGACCCTGCCTTTTGACCCTTACTGCCCCTCTGTTTCTGCCCGCCTCCCCTTTTGGGACTGCAGACACACAGAGGGGACAAATGGAGACAGTCAGGTTGCAACAGGTACCGTTGTGAGGTTACTCAAATAGTGAGTAACCACAGATTGATGCCTGGGAGCAATCTGCAACTGATACAGGCGTGATCAGTGAATCACTGAGGGATTAGGGTGTTAGTCAAAGAAGGTAGAGGAGTGTCACAGGAAAACAAAAGGGAGCCTTTTCACCCACACCATACAATGAAGGAGAAAACCCGAGAAGCGAATGCGCAGATTCCGAGATGAAGCAGTACCTGACGGATTTGGCACTTCGGCTGGGCGGCATGATGAACTCTGGCCTGGACAGACCCGTGGCAGTGCTGCTCGCTCCCCCTGAACTTTGCTGAAGGCTGGAAGCCTTGGACGACAAGGAGCTGATGTCACCAAGGTCACCAGAGGTTAGTGAACTGCTGATTGTGCGGCATGGGGAAATGTCATTCTCCAAGACCTGACAGTCCACCACTGGGTCCTCGTTTTCCTAACGACAGTGACAAGATACTTATTTTGGATTTTAAATGGGATGGCCTGCATTTCAATTGGCTATATGTGTGAATGTGAGCATGAATGGTCATCTCTACTGGCACCTTCCCTGCTGACGCAATACTGTGGCCACTGATATCAAGAAAAGAAAGCTCCTTACAATGCACGAACAGCTCCACCCAAAGTCCAGCCCCTTGGGGATGTACAGTACACAAAGCAGAAAGAGGCGGCGCCGTGGACTACTAAGCGTCATGGGCACTATCCAGGAGGACACAACAGGCCTCCAAAAATACATCAAGATGATGGCCCCCAGTGACAAGCTGCAAAGCTAAAGCGTTAGACAACACAAGACCAATAAGGAGAAAGAGCCAGATGCACTGTCATGAAAAGACAAGCACCCGCATGCCATGTGCCACCGACAAATTGAAGAACTGGCTGACATAGAGTCGACATTCCATCCCGGGAGGGACTCATAGAGTCGAGCCGCTTCTCCTCCACGTCGAGAGGAGCCAAATGAGGTGGCTCGGGCATCTGATTAGTATGTCTGCTGGACACCGACCTGGTGAGGTGTTCGGGGCATGTCCCGCCAGTAGGAGGCCTCGGGGACGACCCAGGACATGCTGTAGAGACTATGTCTCCAGGCCCGCCTGGGAATGACTTGGGATCCCCTGGGAGGAGCTGGAATAAGTGGCTCGGGGGAGAGAAGACTGAGCTTCCCTGCTAAAGGTTTTGCCTCCACAACTCTGGAATTTGAAATGTCCAACTGTATTTGAATGCACCTCTCAGGTCTTGCTGAATTCGAGCGGTGTCACTGTTTCAGCTAGCGATCGCTAGCTACAAGTTAATGGTTCAAGACCCACCCATCCATATAAATAATTGCGTTTTTCAACAGTACTACCAACAGTATGTTTATAATTCCTCTTTCTCCTCAAGTCAAGTCAGTCGAGTCACATCAAGATTACTTGTATTCATCACAAAAGAGACAAAGGGATTCAGAGTCCCGCATTCCAGCAAGAAAAAGAAAACTGCTTTGTTCTATAGTGCATCTCGTGATAAAGGGAAAGCACACTTCATCCATTTTCTGTACCAGTTACCTTCTAATGAAAACTGGTTGACAGCCAATCACAGAGCACAGAGACAGACAATTCATACATACAATTTAGAATCTTCAATCATGCATGTTTTCACAATGTGGGGGGATGCCAGACCGGGCAAAGATACCTCAGAATATTGAGGGACACACACAGTAGCAACCACTACTCCCCAGTGTAGCCTTTTCCAAGCTGCCTTTGGGCGAAAGGGGAACTACACGATGGACTGGTCGCTAGTCAATCACAGCGCACACATGGAGACAACCAGTCACACTTACGTTCACTCTGTCACTGAGTGGAAACTGTACTCATGTTGACTCAACTAGAGTCAGGTCAGTGTACCACTAACTACCGGTACTTCATTTCAGTACCTGTCGAGTGACCCCAACATGCAAAAGTCCCATGAAGAGAAAACATTGGTGGGTGAAAAAAATAAAAATAAAAAGAGCGAATCACTTACCTCAGTGACTTTGCGATCCACCTCTTTGCCATCCTCATAATAAACATCTGTAATGATCCGGGTGATGGTGGTCCGTACTTCCTGGATGGTACGCACGTGTCTGCGGTGGGTGGGTCCAGAACTTCTTCGAAAAGATGAGGTTCCTGGTTCGCCCTGTTAAAGAGAAAAATTAGCTATTCAATTAGCGAAAAAGTTGATACGTCATTTGAAGGAGAAAAAAAAAAACAAAAAAACAAAACATAACAAACGTATGCACCTTGCCAGCTGGCGAGCACGGCATAGCTGTACAGGAGCTGGCTTTCTGGGCAGCTGCCTGCTGACAAACATGTATTACAAGTTTGTTGAAAATACCACACACAATAACAATATTCCAAGCTATTTTAGAGATATTAGATGCATTATACAAGACTGCAGTTTTCATAAAATATGCATCCCGCTATCCATCCAGTGGCAGAATTATTTGTAGAATTATTGAGGTCATATTCATATTTAACTAAAAGTAGAAAATTGATAATTTCACACATTTAGGTTTCTAACCATGACCAGCGCATTATGCCCCAAATCGGGGCTTTTTAAAAAGGCATGAAAGTGTGACTGAAGAACCTTATCGGATGGGTGAACTGCAATAGTGTCGTCTAAGGTGTGCTTGGACGTGTCCTGGTTTGGGGCAGACAATTCTGGTCCAAGCCTCTCTTGGGGTTGCTCAGCTTCTATTTCTTTTGCAGCCTCCGGTGGCACTGCCAACACGTGCAGCTGTACAGACTCAGACTGGCTATGAGGCAGGCTGTTACATCCGAGCGATGAAGTCTGGGAGCTTCTTTGTGGTGAGGTGAACAGATCTCCCCTGCAGAAGTAACATTTCAAGAACCTCAGAGACATAAGTGAGGGACTTAACAGTTGCAAAGACTGTCTGTGGTAGTACATTTTTTTTTCATGAAAAACGCAGAATTTGCCTGGAAAGCAAAAGAATGGCTGAACCAAAACAAAATTGTAGTTTTAATATGCCTCAGTCAAAGCCCAATGCTAAACCTAATTAAAACTTTGTAGGGTGACGAGGAATGTGTAGAAAATATGCGCTCACCATCATGTAGTCACTTTTGAAAACATTGCTAAGTTTAGATGCTACGCAAAGAAGACCTCTCCACAACTTGGTATACTCTTCAAAAAATATCAACTCACAATGCCTCTTTTTCAAATGAATTGCACATGTAATTATTTACAACATTTGAAATAGATTTGAACTCATTTAATGCCAAAACATAAAAATATATTGAAACAGCGAATAAAGGGCTTTGCACGCTTCCTCAGGGAGTATCAAGGTGATGGGAATGATTTCAGTATGATAAATTACCACTAGATGGCAGGAGTGGCTTTGATCAGGTCTTGGGCCACGCATCGTGTGTGGGTGTGGTAAGGCCATCCTAATTCATGAGGTGGTGTGCGGAAACAATGTGGTGTTGAGAAAAGTAGAGCTTTTTCAAATAAAAAAACATGGCCAAGGCCCATCATCATCCTTGACGAACACGCGCTCACATGCACGCAACGCAGGCACAGTAATAAACAAAGTTCAATGTTTATGAAAACTTAATGCATAGGTGACGCATCAGTGCAGTGTTTGTCTTGCAATAACTGTTATTTTGCAAAGTGACCTTTTTGTGTTGTTTATGTTGTTATTTAGTAGGAAAGCATTGTTTAGATCAGTGGTTCTTAACCTGGGTTCGATCGAACCCCAGGGGTTCGGTGTCGGTCTCAGGTTTGATGGAGCCTCTGCCATGGAGGGTAAGACACACGACTCAACATGTTAATTAGTTATGACACGCCCGCTAGGCCATCACTGGCTGCAGATGATCACATAACATTGCTTGTCCAATCAGTGCTGCGGGAAATTTAGGTTGCTCAGTAGTCACCATGTGACTGTCGTGATGTTACGTACAATAAAAAATAAAAAAAAAGTATACTTATCTCTTGAAATGTTATTTACTTTTTTCAGTTTTTAATAAATGCGTTTTTTAATATCTTGAATTTGTAATAAATTCTCTCTCTCTATATATATATATATTTTTTTTTTTTTACAAATTCAAGATATTAAATTTTTAATATCTTGAATTTGTAAAAAAAAAATAATCTCTCTTTCTCTCTCTCTCTCGCTCTTTCTCTCTCTCTCTCTCTCTCTCTCTCTCTCTCTCTCTCTCTCTCTCTCTCTCTCTCTCTATATATATATATATATATATATTTTATATTTGTTTTTCACTAATGAAGGGTTTTTGTGAATGTGCATATTAACTGGTTGGGTTCGGTACCTCTAAGACGGTTAAAAACCACTGGTTCAGGTATTTGAAGTATCACAAATGTAAAAAAAAAAAAAAAATCAAAGTGAAAGTTCTGCTTGAAATTCGTCATTTCACAAAAAGCTCCTTTTCAGAATTTTTCTTGGAAATTAGTATTTTCAATACACCAATGTTCAACTGCTGTTTACTAAAGAATGGTAAAAAGTTGAAATGTCCCAATGGAAGAGGGGGGCTAAAGCTTTCTTTGGTAGCTTCCATGCATGTATAGCTAGAGAACTAAATTTTCTGCAGGTCTTCAAAAATTAATCAAAATGATTGAAAATGGCTGGCACCGGCTCTCCCAATTTGAGAAAAACATCTGGCATTAAATGAGTTGAATGCTTAATGGATTTATTATTTTTTTCCATCACAAAAAAACAGGTAGTCAAACCTCGGTTTTCGAACGTCTCTGTTCTCGACCAAATGGGTTTTCGACCAAAAATTTTGGGGTGTTTATGCCTCGGATTACGACCAAAAATCGGTTCTCGACCAAACTGAGCGCACTTGAATGCGCCACTTGACTCCTCTCGCCTTCCTTACACGACGAAGTGACGCTTCCTTGGGTAGACGAGGAAATGATGCTTCTTCGTGCAGCCTTCCATTGTGAGCAGACGTGTTCAATAAAGATTTTTTTTTTAAAAAAAGAGCGTGGTTTCGGTTTTCGAACAAATCGGTTTTTGAACAGCCTTCTGGAATGGATTATGGTCGAAAACCGAGGTATGACTGTACTGTACTTTAAAACTGTAGCGCCCAGATAGTTGGCTGACATCAAAATGCAGAAACACAAGGAAAACGCTTCACCTTTCTACAAAGTATGCCCCAAGCACGTATGCATGTAGTGCTTAAAATAACCATATGCCCAACGGTCTGATACACATATGTAGGCCTCTCATTTGTCATCCCATACACATACACAAGGTGACCCAATTATGACAACTAATATCTATTACAACAAGGGAATGCGACAAGTCCCGGTCAAATAAAAAAAGAATTTTGATCTGGCATTGAGTAAAGATTAAAACTATTTAAAAAAAAAAACATTCCTGAAGGTTATCAATAAAATCAAATGTGTTTTCAGTATTTCCTTGAGCAGTTTTTAGTAACTTTTCATAACTCCAATATTTAGGCAAATGGGAGGCAAATGCTGTACTTACAAGCGCAGTGCTTAAATTTCCACTGAGTGCATACGGTATTTGTGAAACTTCAAAACAAGTTGGGAAGAAAGTTCATTTGTGTGCTCTTGCCAATCAGTACCTTTCACAATGGCAGACATAAAAATAGAAGCTCACCTAACAGGTGTGTTAGGTCCTCCAGGGAAACTGTTGTTATCTTCATCCTCCGCCTCCTGCTGCCTGTGCACTTGCCTAACACGAGTGAACACTGATGGACTGTTGCGACAGAAAACATGATTTGTCATATTTGTTCTCTCAAAAATGTGACTAATCTATTCCCCTTTTCCCAAAGTGAAAATGTATTTTATTCCCAATGCATGAGGTGGTATTAAGTGTGAAATCAGATAAAGAATGGATCGGAACCTGCTACCTGGTTTCAGCCTTTGTGACAGTGGTAACCTTGGCAACAGATTCATCCTCCTCTGGCTCTGCACAGGAAGAGTTGGTACTTAGAAAGTATCTCCATGGATATGACCGAGCCAGAATATGCTCAGCAGGCTTACTCTGCAGACTGAAGCGTTCCGAGCTTCCCTCTTCAACTGGGGTCACTAACTTCATTCTCAAACTCAGCCTACTGTCCCCCTTCTCTGCCAACTCGTCTCCACATTCTTCCAGACCATCGTCTTTGGCTGCCATGACCGCATCAGCACTGACGTCCCCGGCGACGTCTGGCTTGTCATTAAATGTCTCTAGATGAATAAAAAACAAAGCAGCCCAGTTTAAAAATAGGTTCCTTACTTGATATTGAAGATTGCGTTGTCCGTATGTCTTTCGCTGGAACACACCAATGGGAGTGCTGTGTCTGAGCATTGCCTTCAACTGGTTGATTAAAGGAGGAGTTGCTCCAACAACTGGACCAATCAATTCACCATCTTTAGGCAGTGTGAAATGGAAGGACATTTCTGCATAAAAGCATAAGATTATTACTGTATTTTTTTTTTAGCTATAATTTGTGGATAACTCGCACCAGTCAAAAAATACTTATCTAGGAAAAAAAAAGTAGAGCTCCAACTGGCACCCAAAATACCCATTCGCTAATCATGTTGATGGCAGCGAACAAGCTTTGTTTGGATTCAGCACTTTTGCTTCGAACTTAGAAAAGGTTTTTTGGTTTCAAATGGGTTGCCTCACCTAGAATCCCACACCGCATTGTGGCCCAAGGTAACATCCTGGTGGGTTTATTGCGACATTTGGTGCTGTAAATGGAAAATCATTGTTGTGGCGATAATGCACCTTTTAAAAGTATTTCAAAGCCGCCAGAGAAATGAGAAGGGTGTTAGAAGAAAGCAGTAGTCATGGCAACTAATGCCTCCCATCTCATAGCAACAAACCCCAGCTAGCTGGCTCGTTTAACAAGATTTGTTTTTTTAATTTACAGCATCCAAATGTTCAACCTTTGGCCACAATGTGATGTGGGGTTCTCGTAAAGGTAAGCCATTTTAAACTAAAATGAAAAAACTTCAACCAGAGCTTGTTCGCTGACATCAACACGATTGGGATGAGGATTTTGGGTGCCAGTCCAAGCTACACAAGTCACACCAAAGTATAAGTAGCAGGACCTGCCAAAAAAAACGCGTATACAGTATTATCTATATCTTGACAAGGTTTAGCTGCTAATGACTAAAACAAACTTACAAATGTGGCCATCATACCTCCTGAGCTATCACTAAAGCTCTTGTTTCTGTGTCCCTCTGCTTCTTGCAGCATGGCCTCATGTCCATTAGTGGAGCTTGACACTTTGCCTGGGCTTGAACCAGAACTCGTGCCTTTTAAAAGCTGTGACGGTGATTTGGGAGGAGCCTGTGAGTCTCCGCTGCTCTCTGAAACAGTGACAATCCTCTCGTCCCCATCTGCACCATCCTTGTCACCAGAAGACACCAGCTCGCTTTGAGAGAGGACTAAAGCAATGCCTGAAGGAGCACCCTCTCCCAAAGTGCTCTCCTCCTCCATGGCCACTTCCTCCTCCTCTGAGACGGCTTCTTCAATATCTGCAGGTTCATTACTTTTAACTTTGCCCCTTTGACTATTCATGGATCCACAGCTCTGTGACTCTAATTGTGAGGGACTCTCTACAATTTGTAATGCATTCAAGTCACTCTTTGCCACATCCAGAACAGACATTTGGGAGATCACTGACTGCGATTCTAGACTGCAGGGTGTCACGTCTGACGGGGTCTCAAGAATGCAGCTGTTGACATTCACATCTGAAGATTCAATCTTGGATTGTGAACAAGACACATCAACGGGAAGGCTTGAGTCTTTGAGACCGGGGTCACATCCTTTCACAATCACGTTGGATGAATTCAAGAAAGGTGTCGGCTGAGTACAATGTTTGGAACTAGGGTCACTTTGTGATTCGGTGCGGGCGCCGGTGCACTCGGTCGTCTGATCGTGGCGTGAAAAGACGGAGTCAGTAGTATCTGCTCCAGGCTGCTCGCCCAGTTCTTCTATTTGTGTAGCCTGAGTGTCCTCCATGATCTCTTCTGACAGCTTCTGGACAGAGTCGTTGTCGTCGTCGCCGTCCATGTTCACAGATAGCTGTAAAGGCGTTGTGAAAGCAGGAGATGATTCCTTGCGAGGAAACTCAAGAGACAAGGTGTCAGTCTTGTTATTTGATGGTTGTGGAGTCTCCTGGCTCTGGGTTGAGACAAATACATCCTGAGAAAAAAAAAAATCAGGCATGAGCAGATACTAAAGGGCATGAACTCACTATTACAAAATTTGGGACACTTGCACAATATAATGAGCCAGAACCAGAGCGACAGTATTCAACATAAATAAGTACAGCCCCTCTTGATGAGTACGTTTTCACTCATTTCCCAATTTCCCACTTTTTTCTATTAGGCTAGTTTAGCATCTTATACCCAAGTACACCTGCTGGCAACCGGTTCAGGGTGTCCCCCGCCTACTGCCCAAAGATGGCTGGGATAGGCTCCAGCACCCTCCGCGACCCTTGTGAGGATAAAGCATTTCAGAAAATGGATGGATGGATGGATAGAGTTCGAATTGACACACCAAATTTCCTGTTCCCTAAACCTGTTGATGGCAGTGAACAAGCTCCATTTTAATTCAAAATTTCAGCTTCCGACTACGGAAACGTTACGTAGAATCCCGCATTGCATTGTGGCCAAATGTAGAATCTTGCTTGCTTATTGCACTTTTTGGTGCTGTAAATAGTAAATCCAAATTCTGGTGGATGCCACATGCTAAACTAGCGATAAATCACGAGTTCGTTGGCCATTTCTTTTTTCTTTTGGCAGTTGGCTCATACTCTTGACGCATTACCGCCATTTTGTTTCCTACTTACAGCAGCAAAACGTGCAATAACTGATGAAGCTTCTACTCAGCTAAAATGCCAGTTTTCTCATTAAGGTCAGCCTTTTCAAAAAAAAAAAAAAAAAAAAAAAACATCTCCGTAGTTAGATGCGGAACTTCGACTGGAACTCATTAGCTGCTATCAACACAAATAGGGAACGGGCTTCTGGGTGCCAGTCCCTGTTCTTGGTCTCAGTTTTTGTAAAAGAAATCCTCCCTCGTCCCCAAAATGGGAGTGAGACTTTTGGAGCATTTTTGACTGGTGCCAACTTAAAGTCCAAAAAGTATAGTACATAACATAATTATTGCCTGTTGCAGCCCAAAAACAAAGAGCAAGTCATCCCAGATCCAAAATGTGGTACATACGTGCGAGAATTCGGGCTGGGTGGGTAAAGAGAGAGGCTGCTCTAGCACAAAACCAGGAGAACTCTGGGATATCGGAGTTGAGGTGGGCGGTTGTGGTTTTGAGGAGGCTTCTGTTTCCATTGGCACTTCCTCCTTTGGAGGAGCTCGCTCTTCTGCAGGCTGCCAGGTATCCATGGGCTCGTCGGCACCTGACAAAGCAAACCTTGCTCGTCTCAAAACAGGTTTGTTCCAGTTAAATTTAAGACTTCTTAAGACTGATTTAAGACACCCCCCCCACCCAAAAAAATACCGGCAAAGAAAAACAATCTTTCAATTTGTGTTAATTTATTTCTCTAATGTGGAAATGTGAATGGTGCGCATGATTCGCACAACGCCACCCACAGCACGGATAAAGATTAAAGACAACTGGCTCAGGATGAACGATAATTATCGGACCGATATTGAAAGCCGCATCAAATACACTAACGGACAACGAGCTGAAGTCTCCTCCACTCTAAAAACAATTATTAATGTTGAAACTTAGGGTAAAAGAAATTAACGAGCGCACGAGCCAATTCACTTGAATGAGAGCCGTAGCTGAGGCTCCACTGGCGGTCACTCGACCCAACAGCCGTAGCACCGCGACGGGGATGGCCTGGTTCTAGGGCTGCAGTGCCAGAGAATGACAACGACTGATGAGTTTTCATTTTTAACTGTCCTTTTACCTCCGTTCCTGGATATTATAATTGTGTGGACTTATGCGACATTGGATTACAACAGTACACACTAACGAATTCCCGTGACTTTTCACTAAAGTTTCTACGAGATCGCGTGCGCCCAGTGGGACTTGTGTGAATTGTTGTCGGGTCTGGCAGGCGCCGTAAGTGAGGCAATGTCAACGAGACAGCCAACCAGCGGAACCTCTGTGGATTGTTGTCGGGTCTGGTAGGCGGCAGAGGCAACGTACAGAAAAGCGGGGCAGCCGAGTTGCGACCACACGTAAGTGGTTCAGAAAATGGATGGATGGGTGAGATTGCACTGTGTCCTACTGTATTTGTTGGAATACAAACAGTGACGCCTCGTTGAAGTGCACCCGAACAACTTTTTTTTAAATTTCAGTTGCCACAAGGTGAAATTTGCGCGCAGCCTAGAACCCTGACATACAGCCTAAAATTTAAGACCTCTGACATACAGCATCAAATTTAAGACCCAAATATCAAATTTCAAGACCTTTTGAAGTATTATTTCCAAATTCCTAAACTGCTTTTAATACTTTTTCAGACCCTGCTGGATCCCTACAAAATAGCCCGGGCTTCCTTTTTGTATAATTCTCAGTAAAACAAAATGTTTCGTTACCATGTTGGCTCTCGGGTCCTGTTGGTGAGTTCGGGACAATCATAGGTGTGTGGGGAAAGTTGTCTGGGGTCGGGGCAACATAATCAACAGAGCCCCTAGGGGATGAAATGAAAATTTTAGGTCATTTCTTTCTGCGGTGGTTGTTTGTACTCCACAATTGTGTATAATTATCATGTGACTTACTGGGATAAGCTTGGCTGTTCCAGTGTTTCCTGTCCAGAAAGGTGCAAGAGCCGCAGGGTGTGAGCTGGTGTTGAACTGGGGGAACCTTGTTGCTCTGGCTCAGACACCGTACTGTTTACTGCAGCACCTGGGAGCAGCACAACAGTAAGAAATACATAGGACAACGTTTTTGTTTATTTAATATAATAGTTAAACCTAGAATCATGCTAAAGAATATCTATTTAATTCTCCACGTGGGCCATATGCAAATCCATACCTGTCTTGTTCACATCAAACATGTCCTGCTGAGATGACATTATTTGATGTTCCCGCTGTTCTGGCTCACCAGAGTCCTTGAGGCACTGTGAGTGCAGTAGCACCTGAACATTCAGTGCTTGACTTGATTGGCTGCTGGAGCTCACCTCGGATCTTGAGGAGATACAAAAACTTTGTATTGGCAAATCCATTTCAGATGAAGGGGGAGGGGGGGGGTCTAAAACAAAATTCGGTCATACCTGACTACTTTGCATATCAGATCCTGTGAGGTCACAGTGTTGATGTGCTCTGAAAGAAAAGGGGGCACTCAAAGAGGGTAGAACTAAATCAAAGTTTAGCAAACTTTAACTTAACTTAGACACATTGAAGTAGTGGTGGGCAATATTGCAAAAAATAGAACATTGCGATTTTTGTAATTATCAAGTCACGATTTGGATTTTCTCCCTATTTTTTCTTCTAACAAGAAACACAAATTAAATTCTACATTAAAAAAGAAGTATTAAAAATACAAATAAATCAATCAATACACTTGTTAGTTTGTTGTGACAGTCAAACCTCGGTTTTTGAACGTCTCTTATCGATCAAATGGGATTTCGACCAGAAAATCCGAGATTTTTACGCCTCAGATTACGACCGAAAACCGGTTTTCGACCAAACCGAGCAAACCCGAATACGCCACTCGACTGCTGTCCTTACACGAGGAAGTGATGCTTCCTCGTGTAACGTTCATTGTGAGCAGACGTGTTTGTTGTGATTTACACAAATCTGACTGTTTTTTTTGTTATTTCTGCATAGTGTATTAGCCCCTAATCATGGGCTAATAAAACAGTTTCGTATATCGAACAAATGGCTTTTCGAATAGCCTTCTGGAATGGATTATGGTCGAAAACCGACGTATGACTATATATATTTTTTCCCCTGTAAAACATTTTATCGAAAGGATTTTCGATAATGTGTCTATCGCGATACATATTGTAATTGAATAATTTTACCACTGCATACCTGATGATCTCTCATAGAAAATAGTTGTACTACGGCACATAACTGTGCCTACGGTACACTGGTTTGAAAATACTGGTTTAAACTAGAGTGAAACCTCAAGTTACTAAATTGGGTCCATGAGCCCGTTTGTAACTTGAAACATTCGAAAATCAAGACAATGTTTCCCATCGAAATGAATGGAAATGCAGTTAATCTGTTCCAGCCCCTAAATTAAGTTGTACTTACATTTAAAATACTTTTTTTTTTTTTTTTTTACATGTATGAAATGATTTTTGGACCCACAAATACAATGACAATTGGTGATTGGATGATCATGAATGTGGAGGTGGAACTTCCACCTACATATGCGGAGGCTTCTGCCTTAAGCCGCGGAGGAATATCACAGATTTTCAGATCACAGCAATGCCTTATGCACATTGCCAATAATGGATAGGCAGCACAAGAATTACAACATAGATCCAGCCCCTCGTCCATGCCAAGACTATTTGTACAGTATGTCAAAGCTATTCCATCGAGAGAGATAAATTTTCTACAAAAATTTTGTTTGTAAATTAACGTCAAAAGGGGCATTTGTAACTCGAGGTTCCACTTTATTAATAATGTCAATTATAAAAAAGAATTTAGCGAGGCTTCAATGACTCCGTGTTTGCTATTTGCAGCAGTGCTTATTTCTGGTCCCTCACGAACAGTAGGGTCTTGTCGTAGTTTTACTTTTAAGAAAAACCCAAATATAAACAAGCTTTCAAAAACATTCAGCATCACATTTTTACCATGTTTTATCAATAAACTCAATACCTAATTTGGAGTGTGTCTCACTGACTGCTCGAGGCTTGTCACCCTCATCCCCCTTCTGGCTGTTAACTTCATCAACTAAATTCTGACTCTGAGAAAGTGCAAGGAAACCAAACTGCGAGTCTCCATCTGAAAGACAAAAATGTTATCGTGTAATCATTTTCATTCCTCGGCCTTCCTAGAAATGTGAAAAAGGCTCCTACCTTCAGACTGATCACAGGGTGTGGTGGCATCAGAATCCATTGGCATGTTACTCCTGAAATATTAAGACGGAAATTAAAAATATTTGTCTGAGTGAGCAAGAGCGATCTGCTAAAACAATGGCCAATGGGGGTACTTTAGTTTGTTTGGAGGGTTAATGGTGAGAACTTGACTCTCTTCTAGATACTCCTCTTGGCATCCTGAACTGTGGTTGTGCAGAGTAAGATTGCCTAGAGAGAAACAAATGCAAAAACAGAAGTTTTTTTCTGTTAGACTGTTAAATCCAAGGTGAGTGAATGCTTCCATTGTTACAATTTTTTTTGAAACTGACCAGGACCAGCCTGGTTGTTACGAGGGCAGCTCTCTGATTGGCTGTCTGTCTGAGAGCCTCTACTTCCGAGTGGTGACGATATCAGCTCCTGGAAAGATAAGTAATTGATTATTTTATTCAAAGACAAAAATACATAATGTATATACAATTCCAGAGTGGTCTCTGGGTCCACAAAAATTCTATTGGCAAAAATCATGAGCCGATATCTTCATTATGCATTTAGCTTGTTTTTTTAAGACGGTTTCCCCCAACCAGGGGTATGCGAGCATGGCACTTGGAAACATGTAATAATTTATTTCCAAGATGGTAAGTAAATATTCTGTCATTTCATACAATATGGTATATGTGGTTTTGTTATTGATAATTTAAGTTGAAATGTAAAGGTGACTTCTTCAAATGAGTTCAATTTTTTTTGTGGTCAATGTTACAAGAGTTATATGTAACAAAGCAGTCTTATTAGTTATTTTGATTGTTTTTTTTTTTTATACACCGTACTTCTTTCAAGGTAGTTCAAGTATTCATTTTAATGTTTAATTTTGAGTTAAAAAGAATACAATGCCTGAGAATTAAGTGTTAAAATTAAAAAGACAAAAAAAAATGTCGGAGGTGTGGGGGATCCTAATGGTATGATGAAAGATTTCAGGTGTGGCCAAGGCAAAACAGGTTGGGAGTCAGAGATGTGAACATTGATAAGAAATGAATGGAATCAGGGGTGCTGTAAAGAAGCAAAAAGTGAGAAGAGTATAATGGTAAACAAATAACAGAGTGCCTTCTGTAATAATATCAAGTGCGGCACTGAAGAGATGGGGCCCAAAGTTACGTTTTGTTGACTTTTTCCGTAGCAGAGCACATGGGATTATTCAAAAATATACTCTGTAAAATGTTAACCACCATGAACTGACATGTCCATGAGCAACTCTTGAGTGAAAATACAGTAATTACATAGTACTTACACAAAAGTGAACAAAACTGCTGGATTCAAATTCTACTTTTAGATACAAGGCTCTTTGGATTGACGCAAACCGATCCAGGTTTACAACAAAACGACGTTTTGTGTGTGTATATATATATATATATATTATTCAAAAATATACTCTGTAAAATGTTAACCACCATGAACTGACATGTCCATGAGCAACTCTTGAGTGAAAATACAGTAATTACATAGTACTTACACAAAAGTGAACAAAACTGCTGGATTCAAATTCTACTTTTAGATACAAGGCTCTTTGGATTGACGCAAACCGATCCAGGTTTACAACAAAACGACGTTTT